ATAAATAACTTTTCTAATGAAAAGCATAAGTCACCTGTATATTAAACTGGAGAAATCTGTATAAATGGACAGATTGTCGGGCTGCTGTGTAATCATTATACCAACAAGTCTTACATATTGTACTGTTTCTGCTACCATACTTCACTGCAATTATTAGCCTCCTTTTCTGCCAACTCCAAGTTTAACATACCGTCCCCCTGCCAAGGCCATTTGATTATAAATAGCAAAACATCACGTAAATGCAGGCACATGGGGAGCAGATACAGCACAGAAAAGTGGGCCACTGGGAAGAAGTATTTACTTTCTTTTAGGGTCTGATCCTGTACAAACATTCAGTCATGTGAGCAGCTGGCTATTCTAGAGCAGCTTCCCGAAATTCAAAGAGATTATTAACCTTAAAGGCACAAATGTAATACATTGCAAGATTCAGTTTTTGCAAGCCTTGTTTGGAAGTTATTAATAAAAACCTGGTAATTGAAATTAGAGGTGTATTTTGGAATCAGTTTGTTCTTCATAAGTATATACTGAAACAACAAAATCTCATGGTAGCCATCTTATGCACAGTTAACTATTTTTATCACAATCAGATTGTAACATATGTTCTAAGAACTCATGATTTGATAGATTTCTTCCCAATTTGTGGCTGATCCCAATGCAGGGATGCTGCAGGGGCAGATTTCATAGGAGGAGGAAAAAGGGAAAGCTGGAAAATGTCACTACATGGAGTCACTTCATTGTATATATTATCTACCATTTGCACAGCACCAGTGGCTTGGGGAGATGTTCTGTGTTCTGCTGGTGAGATAAGGAGACAAACCCCAGCCCTCACTGAAGTTATGTCAAAACTCCTATTGACCTCTGTGGAATCAGGGTTTCACTTCCTGCGAACTCTAGGGTTCAAAGATGCCTCTTTAGTTATGTCGCTCCACAGAACCAGTTGTGTGGACAAAAAAATGCCTTTTATGAAATGCCAACAAGGGCTATTTGAGGTGTAAGGACTCTGCTTTATGGGAACACTTGAAGTCTGCTCTGACCATCTCTTCCCACTAAGCCAGTAGTCTTATGTGCCTCATTCCTCTTGATGACACAGAGAGAAGACAACGCTATGTAGGCAATATGGAAGGTGATGTTGCTAATGGGGATGTACGCTGAAAAATACATGCTCATGTGAAAAGGTGGTACAGGATGCCCACATTATAAAAGTCGGGGTAGCCTCTCTCTGCTGGCTAAACACTCGCACCCTTATCTCCAACTGTTGCAACATGGAATGAAACCATGAGAGGAACTCAAGCCTCAAGAGAATTGTTGGCAACTTAAATACGCCCAGCCTGAGAGAAGGACACAGCTGACTGTTGAGAGGAAGCACAGAGCTCTCCTCCTCCACCAAAAATTCCTTCCCCTCCTTCAAAGGGGAGAGGAGGATACCATTGCAACAGATATAATAGCTAGAATGAGAAAAGAAGCAGTAAACTACTCATTATTTCTGTATTGGGTGAGGCTGAGATTGAGTTCATTTTCCTCCTAGCAGCCCTCACAGTGCTGTGCTTTCCATTGGTATGTAGAAAGGGGTCGATAACACACCAATGTTTTGGCCACTGCTGAGCAGTGCTCACACAGATCAAGGCTGTGTCTCCAACATTCCCCCCCCACCACCAGAGGGCTGGGAGGGGGCAAGATCTTAGGAGGGGACATAGCCAAGACACTTGACCCAAACTGACCAAAGGAATATTCCATACCATATGATGTTGGCTTGGGTATAAAAGCTAAGGGAAAGGAGGTGGAAGGGGCTGGGGCTCTTGATCCACAAGGGGTCTTTTTCTTTCCCATCTCATTTTCTCCCTGCTTGTCCTACTGAAGAGGGGAGTGATAGAGCAGCTTGGTGGCACCTGGCATCCAGCCAAGGTCAAACCATCACAATTTCCTGGCGTAAGCAATGTGGGTGGAAAATGCTTCTTGAGCAATGGTTTGGCAAAAGGAGATCCTAGCACTCACTCTGAAATAGCAGATAATATTGAGGTGAATAGCCTTGATTACCCAAAAAGGCATTTTAGTAGCATTTATCACTACAGGATCCAAACCCTCCAGAAAATCGCTGCACTCACCAGAGAGGTCCATAACTGCAATATTTATGTTACAGGAAGCTTTTCAGAGCAAGGAGGAATGAGATAGCGAGTTTTGCTCAAGAGCTTACTGAGGGGGACAGGGGCAGATCTGAAGCCATATCTTTGCAAACCTCCATGCTTTGCTTTCATGGTACAAGTGTCCTTCTGCTCTTAATCCACTGGCACATATTGTCTCTGTGTCAAGGGGAGGTGGATTTGAGATGGGGTATGGAAACATGGTGAATATTTTAACCCTCTATACTGCAGTGCCATTTGCAAGTCTGGCATCTCGAAGGCTGCCCCTGAGCCATGCTTTACATGTTTGGGAGGTAGCCTTGCAAAGTCAGCCTGGCAGAAGAAGACCCCCTGCCAAAGAAATGGGGGAAAACCTTTTTTGGGGGGTTGTTTTGAAATGGAAGATTTGATTCTGTAAAAAATACCAAAAAATACGGAGCAGTCTGTGAGTTTCCATTGGCCCCTGGCCATGACATGCAAAAGAAAAAAAAGAAAAAAAAAAGGAATGAAAACACTTTTTATCATTTTGTTCCTTTAGGAGGGCCCAGAAGCTGTGTGTCTTACAAGTGCCACGTTTCTTTGTTGCACTCCAGCAACCAACACAGATGTAGAGGGGCCAAGAGCTGGATGCTTAGGGTTTGTGTATCTTGGATGTAAGACTTTGGAAAATCTGCCTCTGAGTTACACAAATGGTCACCTCCTCCTCTGCTGGGAGTTGCATTCCCATTGTTTATTCTGTATTTCTAATATTGGCTTTTGTAACTTGTTTAATTTCCTGAGGCTCAGGTCAGTATCATTTAGAAATGTGGGAGGTTTTTTTTTTTTTTTTCATCTCACGAAAGCTGGATTTCATTTCCCAAATTTCTTTTTTTGTCACACAGACAACGCAGTTATTGATGGGCCATTGGGAAAAGGGCAGGCCCAGGTCTTGATTTCTCCTCATCTCTCACTCGGATTGATCCCAGCCACTGACACAGCTAATAACCCTCTGTAAAATGTTTCTCATTGTCATTGGTATGGAGGATGAAAAGCAAGAACCTTGCTTTTCTCCATGATTTACATTGCCTTCTGCATCCCAAGCCTTTCCTAAAACTTTTTAATTGTAAAGGCTGAGCCTCAATTTATCTGCAGCCTGATTTGTAACCGCAGTGGCTGACAATCTGCAGTCAGACATCGGTACATCATTCCCACTATGGAAAAATCAGTGCCATTTCACTGTATTTCTAGCACTTGTGTAGCCATAACTCACTGAATGCCTTCTTGAGTCATCAATCATTACTTAAGGATGGGGGTAATCCTGTGTATTGGTAAACTTTATCAACAAGTAAGCCAGAATGATAAAAACCTTTGCAACGGTTTACTTTCCGTCTAGTCCCAGGACTGAAAGCAGCAATGAGATGAGACAAACTAGCGAGTGTCAAAGAGAGGAGCATAAAACCCTTGAAGCCAAACTGAAGTATTTGTCCTAAAGCTACTGCCATTATGTTTTACTCTGCTTCAAAATTTAACACGATTTTAAGCTGGGCACCAAGTTCTGTCCCTTCAGAGCTAGAAAGGTCAAGGAGCGTATCCAAAACCCATGTCTGAGGTGACCAGAGCCCCCTGATAAAGCTCTCCAGCCTCAAATGGATGCAGACTCCATCCTCTGAATAAACATCTCCGGCTCCCAGCAGAAAGCAGTGCTGCCTTAGAACTCACAGACAGCTTCTATGCCCATGCTGCTCTTACCATGCATTTTATACTCAACTACACTACTCGAGGCTGATCCCTGGGCTCAAATTGCAAAGCCAGGATGGTTTTGCAGGCCATCAAGCTGTTGAGTTAGTTGTGACACTGGCCCAGTTGCTTTTCTGAGGGGCTATGGACGCTCAGGAAAAGCTTTGGTTTCCCTGCAAACGTGCAGCTTAATGCTCTTATCCAGCCAGTGCTCCAGAAACTGCAAAAGGAAGTGGTATTTGTGGTAACTGTGATAGCATCAAAGCACAGTCTAATGCACATCTGGGGTGAAAATGTCATGCCATTGACTCCTTTTTGTTGCAGCTATTATAACAACCAAAATCTCATTTCTTATATCATGAAGCTCTAAAAGACTGACATCCAAAGCCCATTTTTGGGTACAGCCCATTTTGGGGTGATGCTCAGTCAGTCAGGGTTGGTCAAAAGTACACGAGCCACTCTTGTTTCAGCTGCATACTTGGATAATGTTGGTGAAGTCAGCCATGTGTAAAGGCATCATATAATTTAAAGCACTTAACACAGGTCAAAATTATAAATACAGTCAGACCAGGTACTTTTCTGTAGTCACTGCAGGGAGATGGCATTGCTACAGCCAATTCAGACTCAGCTGATCCAATCCCTCTCCAGGGTTTCCTTTCTCTTCTGTTCAATAAGAGAGGGTAAACTGCATATGAAAACAGGTCCTTGCTGCAAGTAGGAGATGGACTGTCATCTGTGAAGCACAGATGAGGACTTCCTACTTTGTAGGATGTTCTTAAGTGCTCTGATATTACTTTGGCAAGGACCTCATGAGCAGGTTGATACCCAGCTTTCTGTGCACCTGCACAAATTGACCTTCTGCCCCAAAATATGATTTCAGGGTTCAATCATTTTGGCATATCCCACTGCTGCACTACAGCCAACACACATAATTCAGCATTTCACTGAATCTTTATACAGATACGCAACAGTTTGGTGCATGAGATTAAAGTCCAACATGGTTTACAAGGAATATCTGGAGGACAAAGGAGGGGTTTGTAAGAATATGAGCACTAAGTTATTTAGTAGAGGTTAGTATACTATGTGACAGAAAAACCACTTCCATCCATGAATGTATAACGATGATCTCTGTCCTGAGGGTTTCACACAGCAGTGACTGTTGCTTACCAAGGGTGCCGTGCTGCTTGCTCACAGGTGTATCTTTTATTTGGGTCCTTCTCCATCAAATTCCGAATGAAGTCTTTAGCTGGAAAAAAAAAAAAAGAGACAATAATTTAAAGCAATAGGGTTGATGTCCAGTTCTGGCCCGGGATGACCAGCCAACAGCATTGACTGGGCTACCAAGTGCCATCTGGCTACAGGGCGAAAAAACGGACCTGGGTCATTTGTCATTTATTATTATAAATAAACCAAAGTTACTTAGGACCAAATCCAAGCTATTTAATATGACAGGTAAAAGCTGAAGGTGTCTTCTCTTGCAGGCATATTTAGGAGTGGGATGAATAATTCAGAGTCAGCAGAGTTCAAGCCTGCCAGCTCTTGGCTCCCTGGTCACCCAAGTGCCTCTGACCATCTTAGTGGTCTGCACATGGCCTCATCTGTTGGAGATGCTAATAAACTGAGTGGGAAAGGCAAGGAGGAGGTCAGATGCCACAGTAAGAGGAGCTTCTCATTGCTCAGTCCAAGCAATTGCACACATGGGCAGCTGTGAGGACATGCTGCATATTTACAAACGAGTTACTGAGGACAATGGACTCCCTCAGGCATGAGGTAGTGTGGTTTTAATCAACATTATAATGGAGGGAAGGGAGATCACGGCATGGCATGCATCCAGTAGTTTCAGGAGAGTGTAGTTGAAGGAGCCACAGCAAAGCCAAATACGGCAGGAAAACCTTTGTGCTGATTTAGGTGATGGACTTTTCTCCCAAAATGCAAAGGGGTCTGCCAGCAGACCTTCATATTTTCTCAGAAAACCCTTATGGGCTTAAAGAAAACTTCTCATCACATATATATTTTAAGCAATCCATCACAATGATATCTGGACTGCAGATGTAAGCAGCATGAAATGTTATTCTACGCAGAGATAACAGGGTATATAATCATCTTTAAAATGAAACACTTATTTTTATATCTCCCTTGCCTTAATCAGTAGTACTAATGAATCAGAAGACTGCATTTCTAGGGATATTTTTGCCCGATAAAATGTTCCTAGAATTCATTTCTTCTCCTGCGTGAAATGGCAGGTGTTCCCCCAGGTTGGACAGAGCAAGGGCACCACGCTTGGACCTCTTGGAGACCACGTGGCATGGCAGCAACGTTGAGCATGCCCCTGCTGTCACCTATAGACACTGATGCTGGCAGACCACAAGCCGTGCTGGAGCCAGAAGCCTTTAGGCACACTGGCCCATAACAGGGCAGTGTATCTGCCTCCCTGCCAGGCCGACTGGAGCAGGCACAGACAGGTGCTGGGGGCTAAATGTCTTCTGCACTGGGTGGGGAACTGGGCAAGCATATGGGCAGCTACCTGAACCCGACCACATGGACACTATTCCCAGTTTCTGAATCTGCTTACCCACCTCATTTGGAAGCCCATTAATCTTGGGTTTGTCTTTGCTCTATACACTGCAGGCTCGCTTCAGACAGTATGAACAGAGTCAAAGTAGGTTGCCTTATTATTATTAGTGACACAAAAAACATCTGCATTTTATTTGGATATGATGGAGAAGTTAAACTCCTTTGTCTTCTTGGGACAGTCATCTGCTATCTTCGTCTTCTGTTCCAGCTATGTTTTAGTGCTTTGTGTGTAACTGGACAAAATGATACTTCATTTGCTCTCCTGCAGCAATAACCTCCCATAACTATTTCAGCTAAAAGTAATGCACATTCCCCATGATTTCCAGTTAAAACAAGCTCCACACATGATGGAGGGTGTGTTCTCATGCCCAGAGGAGGAGATCTGCAATAGGCAGGCGTGCATGCATGGTTGTTGCAATGAAATGAGCAATAGCTTCTTACCAGACTCGGAGATGTCATCCCAATATGGAGAGTCAAACTCATACTCCGCCTTAAGGATCTGCTCAAAGAGTTTGGAGTCATTTTCATCATAGAAAGGAGGATACCCACAGAGCCTAGTGGAGAACAAGAAAAGAGACATGTGACCCTTGGACACGTCTCAGCCAAGAAGGTGAGAAAGAGGGAGGGAGAAGAAGGAGAAACTCTTCCTTAAGGCTTGCCCCAATAAGTTTTCAAGCAGGCGAGCACTACCACATGAGATGTTTGTTCAGGGACATGTAAACCCACTTCTGGAGATTGGCATCATCCTGGACAAAGAGGAATTTGGCATGGAAACCCTGTGCTGTTGATCCTATGCTGACTCATGCAGATATCCTGGTCTCCCTCTGCATGCTTTTGGGTGTTTAGCCAGAGGAATAATTTTATTACACATCCATGAGCCCTTCCATCCTCTCCTATACATGTGGTAAGAGGAGTTTTCATGGGCTACACCCTACATACACACAGCACCAGTCCCTCTCATCCCTCAGCACAACCATTCCCCATCCCAGCTTCTCCATACTGGCTTCACTGCTCTGGTTGTCCTTCTGGACTGTTCTCACCCAACACCTCACACAAGTCCCTTGCACCGGCTTTACTCTCGCCCAGCTGGTGGAGAGGCATTGCAGCAGCTCTGTAGACACGCGGGCACAGCAGAGCCCTGCGAGCCGAGGACACACCAAAGGTAATGACACCCAGTCACCTGCATGGCATCAGGACAGGCTTTGAGCACAACCTGTGGTCTCTATACTGTGCGAGAGGTCGTAGCAGTATAAGAAAGTTTGTTGTACATCTGCAGAGCTACTGGCCACCCACATGGACCTCTTCTCCAGCACAACGAGGAGGAAGAGCTGGTGCAAAGCAGGACAAGGAGCCCTGCAGCACTATCAGGCAGAGGGCAGGATGAGTCTGTGGCCTGTGCTGGGCTCTGTGTCCCCAGGTCCCTGCCAAGAGGATGCCTGGGAGTCACTCCACCTCTGGAGCAGATCCTGCTCGGGCTGCACACAGAGCTGCCGCTGCTGCAGAGGCACACGGGGAGCCTCTCCCTTTCTCACTTCTGCAAGTGGTGTTGCTACCCACATGAAACTGCCTGCCTCGCCTAAGGCTAATGACAGCCCTGTCCTGGTTTTCAGTATTTATAATCAGACTTCTCAGAAAACCTAGCCCCAGGACAAGCAGAACACTGAACGTTATTTGCCTAGCTTGAGCAAAAGCACTCAGGGTGCACCTTCCCGGTGCTGCAGACAGCAGGATAGTGGCTCTGCTGAGGCAGGGCTCCTCCCGCCCTGCAGACGTGGGAAAACCACATCCAGCACCGCGGCAAGCAAATGCAGCGAGAAAACTCCTGTGTCAGAGATCCCTCACGTCAGCCGATGCTGCACGCAGTGGTCTGTCCCTCTCCGTGCAGACAGGCCAGCAAGCATACCCCTCCTTCAGGTTTTAATACCAATGTTTCCAAGTGCCAGAGGTACCTCTGGGGCTGGCCCACGGTTTTAGCAAAGCCATCCTGCTCACAGCTAAACGGGCCGTTCTGACTCTGCTGTCTCATATGGGGATGATGCATTTTTTTCTCTTATCTCTAGTCTATGGTGCAAATTATTCTTTCACATACTTCACCGATATTGAAATGATCTTTTTCCTACAGTTTTCTTAAACCCTGAGTCAATTAACCTCAATAAAGCATTTAATTGGGGAGCACCAGCCATTGTTAACAGGCTGAAGATCTAGCTGAAACACTACCCTGTAGCAACAACAGAACAAGGCAGGGAAACTGTAAGAAATGAAATACTTGAGTTATTTATAACACAAAACCAGCCGGCTGCCCTGGAAGTTATTTGAACCAACTCCACACTTCAGGGTGAAAGGAGCAATGTTTTGTTAGCTCTGAGGAGCCCGTGCACTTGATAAATAATTTAAATGCTGAGTGAGATGTTGATCTGCATCAGATTCATATTGACCTGGAAGAACTCTACTGAAATCTGCAGCATTATAATGAATCCACTGTGGTTCAGCTGAATCAGAAATCTCTCTTCTCTATCTTGCAAAGCCGATGAGCCAGTCCTCATTTGTGCCCCGCTGGATGATTGCCATTATCAAAAGCCAGTAAGATAACCTCATGCCAGCCAAGCATTTATGTTCAGAGCAGGACTGCATACCTACTTAATGGGCATGTGTTTGTGTATGGGGCTCGATGCAGCAACTCCTCCGTGAACCTCAGTGGTGGAAGTGGAGTATGAGAAGGGCCATTAAAAATGGCACATTTAAGCAAACGCCAAAAAGCCACCATGCACCTGGATAATGAAGGAAAAACAACTGGTAACCTAACACAGAAACTGGATGCACAACCAGGATCCAGCTCTACAGATGTCTATGAAGAACATTTATATAACTTGCTTTAATGTAATATATGTCAGTGCTTATGTCCCACAGTCTTGTGGGGGGATGCACACAAACTGATTTTCACCTTCCTTCTCTTTTCTCACAACCCTCAAGATTTTGGGTGCTTTACTGAGGGGTTTGGCAAGGCTGGAGTTGACAGCACCAGCACTGCAGCTGTTAGGATGGCCACCGGGGTAAAGATGTCCAGGTTGGAATAAAACGGCTCTGCCAAAGTCACTCGGAGCCATCACTCTGTCCCTCTTCCCTGGGGGACACACTGAGCTCCATATAAGAAGCCTGACAGCCCTTCATTAATTTCTTGCCTTCCTCAGCACTTTCCTTCAACAAAACTAAACTGCTCTGATAAAACATTTTAGGGCAAGCAGACAGCACTGTGCATGCCTCGGCACTGGCAGGCTGCTCCGGAGAGAGAAATAACTCTCTTGAAATGTGCACTGTACTAATTACCTTGGCAAAGGTACAAGAGCACAAGTTAGGACTGCTGTGATTTATACACGCTCGTGGCAGCAAAAGGCAGCACAGACCTGGAGGGCTATAAACCTGCAAGGGTAGGGGGAGCAGAGAGACACGAACCCCAGCAAGAGCCCCAGCCTCTCCAGAGCCTTTCAATCCCTTTCCTACACACATCCAGCTCTTCTCCTGCTCCTCTGCATGGCTTAAGTGGGCATGTGACAAAAGGGCAGTGATTGTGCCCCTCTACTTGGCACTGGTGAGGCCCCACCTCGAATGCTGGGTTCAGTTTTGGGCCCCTCACTACAGGAAAGACGTTGCATTGCTGGAACATGTCCAGAGAAGGGCAACAAAGCTGGTGAGGGGTCTGGAGCACAAGGCTGATGAGGAGCGGCTGAGGGAACTGGGGGTGTTCAGCCTGGAGAAGAGGAGGCTGAGGGGAGACCTTATCGCCCTCTACAACTGCCTGACAGGAGCGGGGAGCCAGGTGGGGGTCAGTCTCTTCTCCCAGGTAACAGGCAATGGGATGAGGGGAAACAGCCTTAAGTTGCACCAGGGCAGGGTTAGGTTGGACATTAGGAAAAATTTTTTCACTGAAAGCATTGTCAAGCACTGGAAAGGACTGCCCAGGGAGGTGGTCAAGTCCCCATCCCTGGAGATATTTAAAAGCTGGGCAGACGAGGTGCTTAGGGACATGGTTTAGTGGTGGGATGGCAGGGGTAGGTTAACATCTGGACTTGGTGATCTTAAAGGGCTTTTCCAACCTAAACAATTCTATGAATCTAAATGTCTGGGGTATCTACCTCTGTGTCTGGGAGATCACTGCAGCTCATCACAGGGGTGCATGGCAAAAGGGCTGTACGAGGAGTCACAGTCATGCAGAAGGATGCCAGAGCTACTGGAAGCTGGGCACGGGGCAACAGACTCTTTTGGCACTCCTTTTCCCTTGCTGGTGAGAGCTTGAGAAGTGTCAGTCTCCACTACAGGTCATGGGCAGGGACATCCCTGCAAACCAGCCCCTTGCCTGAGAGGAGGCTGAGTGCAGGGCAAGGGCTGGTCCTGACTTGGCCAGAGATGGGGGTCAACCTCCTGCATGGGGGGACCCAAGGATGTTCCTCCAGGAGGCAAATCATTGAGGACCTACACCAGAAAGCATGTCAGAAGGGAGCAAGCTCCTTAGGACAGAGGAGGTAGCATGTGGGAGGGGAACACCAGGGCATCCTGGCACAGGGAGGGGCTGGGAGCCAAAATATAGGTGGTCTTGCTGTCCTTTCCCTTAAAATCAGAGTTTAGGAAGACACAGAAGTTTTAAAGTTACTTACTGTAATGTGTTAACATTACTGGCTTTGCAGTAAGGGATGGGAAAGCCCCGGTAAATTAGCCTATCATGCAATTTATGGCTGGAGGAAATCTTGCTGGACTTGCAGTGACTGGGCCACCTTCCAAAGTCCGTAATAAGTTTTTATTTAATTCTTACAGAATCAAAATCCCACCAACGTCATTTCCATCTGCTGGAACATTTCTGTGTGAAAAAAATGACCTCACTATCAGAGGTTCTGCTGCTTTTCTTTAGATATGCAGAAGTACCAAAATAACCCCTCTGTCTTCAATGTGAAAAAATCCCTCGTTGTCCTGGGGGAGCTTCAGGCAGCTATCCGTTGTCATCATTTTTGCGGTTTCGCCAAATAAAAGCTTTTCAGAATTATTTAGCAACCTTATCACATCAGCAACAGATTTTCCCTTAACCTCCTATTCCCAGTCTTGCCTTAAGAAGAATGGGATGCAGATAAGAAAACCACAGGTGGATGTACAAAAGGAAAATATTGCTAGAAGTCATTTCTAGAAGCCATCAGGAAAGCACAAGAGGAATACCAGGAATGCCTCCTCCTCACCAGGCAGTGAAAGCAAACCCCTGCAAGCTCCTGTCACATATTGGGGGTGATACTAAAGACTAAATAACCCACTTGCATGGTCGGTGCATACAGCCTGCAACACAAGAGGCATTGGGGTTAGTTTTACCAACAATTTTATAGTGAGATTAGAGCAAGGGACTTAGTAAACCCTCACAGATCTGAGATGTGTGGTGTGGGAAGTCATCCAAGTGCTATTTATGGGGATAAACACATGTATTTCTTCTTATTTTAGGAATGGACCCTTATGAAACTGTGGACAAGAATGTATTACATCGGTAATAAAAAATAAATTAAGAAGCAAGCAATGAGGAGCA